GTACTGTGTCCAGTTCTGGGCTGCCCAATACAAGAGAGACGTGGAGCTACTGGAGCAAGTCCAGCAAAGGGCCACTAACATGAGTAAGGGACTGGAGCATCTCTCTCAGGAGGAAAGGCTGAGAGAGCTGGGACTCTTCAGCCTGGAGAAGAGAAGGCTGAAGGGGGACTCTGATCAGTGTATATAAGTAGCTGACGGGAGGGTGTCAAGAGGAGGGGCCAGACTCTTCTCCATGGTGCCCAGGGATAGGACGAGAGGCAGCAGGCACCAACTGAAACACAGGAAGTTCCATCTGAACATGAGGAGAAACTTTTTTTCCCTGTGAGGGTGAGTGGGCACTGGAGCAGGTTGCCCAGAGAGGCTGGGGAGTCTCCAGCTTTGGAGGTATTCCAAAGCTGTCTGGACAGGGTCCTAGGCAACGTGCTCTAGGGGTGATCCTGCTTGAGCAGGGCGGTTGGACTAGATGATCGCCAGAGGTCCTTCCAATCTCAACCATTCTGTGATTTGTATTATTCTATATTACTATATTTTCCAAGAAAAGAAACATAAAGGGTATTCTTCTTGTTATTGAAAGATTTAATAACAGAGTCTGAGAAATACCAAGAGGTTTGTTTTGAATTTTTCTTTTAATTAAAAAGCAGCAGCAACAACAAATTAGAAATCTGATTATAGATAAAATTGCAGTGCCAGATTTTTATTTTCTGGAACTTATGCTCTTGGCTTTCCAAAACATTTGACATTTTTCAGCTCATGCTGATTTTCAAACCCATCGGGATCAATCAAAGAGCATGAATATTAGAAACATGTTAATACTCAACCACGTGTAGACCTGTCTGTGAGACTATTTTGTTCTGTAACAGGCAAAAAAGTTTAGGAAAAAGATCCCACCCACAAGCCAGCTCATCTTCAAAAGAGAAATTCTAAAGATTAAAACAACATAGAAACAATTCTCTCAGGTTTCATGACCAACAAAAATAATATCTCTTATCTGTCTCATTCCTTGTCTCTAGTTGTGCAACATAACATAATGCCTTCCCCTCCATAAACACTTCCATGACCTTGTCTGCAATTTTCCTTCCATTTAAGGGACATTTGCCGTTACATAGCAACGAGTTCAGTGCTCCAGCAATTTGCTGGACAATTAACCTTCCCAAAACAAGAGACAAACTATAGAGACTCTTCACTTTGACATGCTAGGATTCCACTTTCAACTCAAGTTTTGGGAAGTTCCTGTTCTGGAACAACAGTCTGCCCTTTGTAACATTCTGGCTCTTGGGTTCCTAAGATGGCAGCATTCCCCTGACCTTTTGTATTGCTATGTGCTGGGCACAAGGAATTTTTTTTTTTTTTTCCTCTCTCTCTCTCTCCAAACCTCAGGAAACAAGCGAGCATCCATGTCTTACTTTTACAAGCATTCTTAAACTGCTGCCATTTTATTTCATTTCATATCCTTGAAGAAACTTGTACCAAGAGATTACAGCAGTCACAGGCAACATTTCTAACTGACGGATCATTACAAGGGCACAAGAGGAAACATCTTTCCATGGTAACATGCCTATAAAAAACAAACTCTGTGTCTTCTATAGCTCTTAGAGTCCTTTTCTTGCTTTTTATTCTCCACCTGAAATGAGCTGGAGCTGAGGCTGAGACTGTTCTTGTGCTGCATCTTGTGAATTTTCAGAATTTGGCTGTGTGGCAAGATCTCTGTTAACTGTATAAAGTGAACACTGGATAGGATTCAGCCCACTGCCTGGTAGCACATGTCCAGCGACGTCATTCAGTTTCTGGCTTACCAGTGCTGTCTCAATATATTGTTTACCTATTTGGATAGCTTCATCATAGGAAGGTGGCAACTCCATTGCAAAGAGACTGTAAGCTGGAGGGGACATAATGTTCCTATCCATATCCACATAGGACAAAGGAATAGGGGCACATGGAGGGCACTGCAAAGAGCTGTACGCTGTGAAGAGAAGGGGAGGGGGGGAAGAGAGAGAAAATAACATAAAAACAACTTAACAGAACCCTCTTATATAAAGGTCTAATCCTATTTTTCTCTAAGACCCACAGGTATGGACCCATCTTTGTGGTGTCAGAACATATGTGCTGTATATTAAGAGCTACCAGTATGGAATTACCCATGATGGAACCTCACATTCTCCAAAGGAGAATGGTCAGAAGAGAAAACATTTCTGCAAAGACCCATCCAGCTATTACTGTGAAACAGTTGCCATAATAGTTTATGTTGTAACAGTGACAGTTTCAGTTGGGTTCCTGCATGCCTAGCTGTGAACAGTTCCTCATGTTAGAGATACTTTGGCTGGAACAGCTCGACAGTGAGATGAGTTGAAGAGTTAAAGCAAAGCAAACAAAGAAAAAAAAAGACAATGGTGATAAACTTGGAGAAGACTTGTATGAGGTTAATCTACCACGGACTTTATTTTAACCTCTATAGCATTAAATCGTACTTGTCTTCTGCCCTTACTTAAAAGGTTGTCCTG